CTATATTCTTCTAGAATTTTTGAAAGACAAGCGCAAAGAGAAACCTTGAAACTGCGCGAAAAAATTGTTCAATCGAATTTCTGTTACTTCTTATTAACCTTTTAGGTACGGCTGAATTCTGCGCGAGGCTATTTCTCTGGACGGCAGAGTCTGATATGTACTGTACAGAGTGTCTGTATATTGTTAAGATACAGTTATATTATTAAGATAAAAGTCTGTATATTGTAAATCGATGTGAAGACAAAAGAAGCGTGAAACAATGCATATGAAGACGATTATTTGATTCAAACGATGACCGAGTGAGCTACTAGAGTAAGCCACTATAGTGGTGCGTCGTTCAGAGAGATGACATCCGCGGAAGCCACTATAGTGACGCGTCGTTCAGAGAGATGACATCCGCGGAAGCCACTATAGTGGCGCGTCGTGCCTAAAAGGTTAAATTAAATTTCAAATGTATTATACTTACAATTTAAAATTGAATGAAAAATTTTAGTCTGTTGTTGCAAGAGCATGGAGTAAAAAATTAACACGAAAATCCCGGAAACAATGTATACCGTCGTTGTCGATGTCGGGATCGCATGCGTCGCCTACGCCGTCATTGTCCGTGTCCTCCTGCCTCGGGTTTTTGACGAACGGACAGTTGTCGCACACGTCACCGACCGAGTCCGGTCCGTCGCGATCCATGTCCTCCTGGCCCGGGTTCGAGATCAGCGGGCAATTGTCGGACAAGTTCAGCACGCCGTCGTTGTCGGCGTCGGGGTCGCAGGCGTCGCCCACTCCGTCGCTGTCGGCGTCTTCCTGACCGCTGTTCGGTATCAACGGACAATTGTCCGCGCGACAGTGATGTTCGTAGCACCGCAAGTTACCGTCCGGGATCCCGTCGCTGTCCCGGTCCAGTCCGCAGGCGAGTCCGTTCCCGGCCCATCCGACGTGACACTGCAACCGATAAGCGACATTTTCCGTTTCGACTTTCCGTTTCGTTGTTTCGTATCTCAGACGCGAACTCAATGAATCCAACTACCCTGCAGGTGTAGCGATCGATGTCGATGCACACGCACTCGGCGTTCTCGTCGCACGTCGTCGTCAAATCCGCGCAGATATTGCCCATGCGGCGGCATCCTATCGTCTGGTTACCCACGTAGCCCGACTTGCACGCGCCGCATATGTACGAGCCCTGAAACGATTCCAACGATACATGTGAACATGTAGACACCTTTTACATCGGCACGGTGTTTTTGAAATTTTTGATCGAAGGAGTTGAAATTTTTTTCGACACTTTAGAAGCATTAGTTTTCTGGACAATGATGGCAGAACATTCGTGCGATATTGACAGTCGAATGGAACGACTAACAAAATAGAATATATTATTATTATATTAATATAATATATTATATCATAATATAGTAATATAGTAATATATATTATATTATATAATATATATATAATAATAATATAATATATATATTATATTATAATATATTAATATATTATTATTATATAATATATATATAATAATAATATAATATATATATTATATTATAATATATTAATATATTATTATATATTAATATATTATTATATATTTTTAACTTTCTTGCCTGATCCTGCAGCAAAAATTGAAACAACGTCTTACGTAGATCTTTGCGATTTAGTTAGTTTGCTGAAAGTCTGTAGTTCGTAGTCTGTGTTAACCGATTTCGTGAAAACTTTCGACGTGTACACCCCTGATGAAAAATATTCGACCACCCGCGATAACATTTTTAAAGGTGGACTGAACGACATAACGGTTGTAACGAAAATGAAAAAAAACGCATTTCGTAGATGTCGGTAACTTATCTGCATACCAAAAATTTCATCAAAATCGATCGACGTCGTTGCGAGCTGCAAACAATTGAAGATGGTGAGAATCGCAGTTCTTTTTTACGGATCTCGACCGAAAACAGGTAATTTTTACATCTTCCAGTGAACGATCTTACATCTTTTCGTTTTTCCCGAGAAGTTATTCCGTTTTAATAGGCGTCCACATTACAGTAAATTCTCTCCGATCGTACCTCAGCTTCCAAATCGAAATGGACAATTTTGAATAATTGTCGAGTATCGGCGACTATGAAAACGAGCCGCGAGGCTCGAACAATCGTACCGTCTCTTCCCAAATTGTCCAAATATATAATATATAATATGTATAATTGGCCCAAATATATAATATATAATATATATATAATTGGTCCAAATATATAATATATGATATATATATAATTGGCCCAAATATATAATATATAATATATATAATTGGCCCAAATATATAATATATAATATATATAATTGGCCCAAATATATAATATATAATATGTATAATTAGCCCAAATATATAATATATAATATATATAATTGGCCCAAATATATAATATATAATATATATATAATTGGCCCAAATATATAATATATAATATGTATAATTAGCCCAAATATATAATATATAATATATATAATTGGCCCAAATATATAATTTTTGTTCAGAAGCTGAGAATCAATTGGAAAAAATTTACCGTGCACGTATTCGTCCATGACTGTATATGTATACCTCTGTGTTGATGCACTCCGAGTTCGGATCGCAACCACCATGATTGATCAGACACTCGTTCACGTCCTGGCAGACCTGCCTGTGGCTCTCGGCATAGGACAGACCGACTCCCTCGACGATATTGCCCTTGTATCCTCGTGGACAGGGATCGCATTTGAATCCAAGATTCAGTTTGACACATTGGACCCCGGGATGGCAGGGATGGGCCAGCTCGCACTCGTTCGCTATGCTGCACGTCACACCGTTGCCCGCGTAGCCTTTCGGGCAAGTGCCGCAGCTAAAACCGTCACCGTTTGGGTTTATTTCAACAGGGATCGCCGATATCGGTAAGTCGGCTTGTGCAATTCATCCGGAGGGATGGCGCCACAGATCGCGCGGTCCCTGGCCGCATTTGAAATTGAAAAGGTCTATCTCTCCGAATAATTAGAATTATGACGGCGCACGCGATGGCCGATGACACGCGACCGTAGTAAGAATAAGCAAGTCGGCTTCGTCGCGCAAACGTTGTTCGACAAGATACAGCAAACTGTGGTAGAGTTTACGGAGAAGCTTCCCGAAAGGTTCCACGAAGATTCCGATCCTCTAGTTTGCCGTATCCTGTGCATCGATAAGCGCAGCGGTGCTCGCTTAGCCCAGTTATATAATATTTCTCGCCTCGATAATGGCCGCTACAGAGTAGAAAATGATGCAGAGTATAGAGCGTGGACCAGGGGTGTCAAACTCGCGACCCGAGATGAACATTTTTGATGTCAAGTATCAGGACGTAAACAAATAATATATATAATAATAATATATAATATATATAATATAATATAATATATATATAATATATATACAATATAATATAATATATATATAATATATATACAATATAATATAATATATAATAATAAAATATATATAATAAACAATAATATATATAATTTATATATGTTTTATAATATTATATTATATATATATATATGTATTATATATATAATTTATATATGTTTCTGTGAACATTGATTTTCTTTTTTTTTGCAGCCCACCTAAAGTTAAGCATTGTTTATTCGGCCCAAGTTAGCTTTTGAGTTTGACACCCCTGGCGTGGACGTTTCAATTGGTTAACCTTTTAGGTACGGCTGAACTCTGCGCGAGGCTATTTCTCTGGACGGCAGAGTCTGATGTGTACTGTACAGAGTCTGATACTGTATATACAGGGTGTCCCACAAATGTCTCGCAATCCGAAAGTGGCGGGTTCCTCAGGCCATTCGAAGCAACTTTTTCCTTTACAAAAATTTTCTCCGAGGCACCGTTAACGAGTTATCAGCGAAAAACAGTGACCAATGAGAGGCAAGCTCGGCTGGCGCGAGGCGATCGAGCCAATGAGTGGAACTGGGCTTCGCGCGCTGGTTGGCTGGGCCGCCTCGCGCCAGCCGTACTCGATTCTTATTGGTCACTGTTTTTCGTTAATAACTCGTTAACGGTGCCTCGGAGAACATTTTTGTAAAGGAAGAAGTTGCTTCGAATGATCCGAGGAACCCGCCATTTCCGGATTGCGAGACATTTTTGGGACACCCTGTAGACTGTTGTAAATCGATCCGAAGACAAAGGAAGTGTGAAACAATGCATATGAAGACGATTATTTGATTCGAACGATGAGCGAGTGAGCTACTAGAGCAAGCTACTATAGTGGCGCGTCGTGCCTAAAAGGTTAAAAGGACTGCGAACAAAGTTGGAGGCTGTTCGCTAAGCGAACACCACCGTGAATAGATGGAGCAACCGATCGAAGACGTAGGGGAAGGCGAAGAGTATGGTACCTGTAACCGTCGACGCGGTTATAACAATTAACCCCGCGGAAACACGGATTGCTCGCGCAAGGGTTGGGCAGCCTGGTGCACTGACGTCCGTCGCCGGTGTACCCGGGCGGGCACGGGCCGCACCTGGGCCCGTGCAGGGTGTCGCGACAATCGGCCCCCGGGAAGCAGGGCGACTTGTGATCGCAAGTGGACGGCGCAGGCGTCACGGGCGTAACTGTGGAATCGAGAGGATCAGGGTTGATCAGGAATTGCTTATACGTGGTAGCCCGGTTTATTACATTCTTTTCATTTCATCCAGCAAGGTACATGTGTGTGCGTGCGTGTGTGTGTTTATTGCAGACGCGAACGTGTCGCCGCTTTGTACATCGGTGTGTGTCGTACACGATTTAAGTAAATTATATGCAGATATATATGTATATCGACGAATCCAGTTAATAAATGTATATACGTTATGATATATATATACACACATACGTTATAATATATGTATATGTATATATATACAGGGTGTTCCACAATTATTTCAACAGCCGAAAATGAGGGGTAGGTGAGTGAGGTCATTTGAAGTAACTTTTTCCTTTACGAAAATGCGAACTGCGGCTTTGTTTACGAGTTATTAACGGAAAACACTGACCAATGAGAGGTGACGGCGCGAAGTTCGAGAGCCCGCAGCACGAGGCTTTGACAGATGGTCGTAACAGTGATATTTTTAAGAAAAACGCTGTCCACCTTTACTTTAGAACGTCTGAAGAATATTTACTAATTTTTCGGACCCGAAATAGTAAGTAATTTAACCGTGACGACTGTACACCTTGCTTAAAAATTTCATACGTCATCATGACCTTGACATATCAAGGTTATGTCGAGGTTATGTCAAGATCATGTCAAGGTTATGTCAAGGTCAACGTATGAAATAATTTAGATAATATATTCGGCTGTTAAAATAATTGTGGAACACCCTGTATAACATGTGGCATGAACGCTTATCTTCAATATTTGGTCGCTCAAATAACCTTGACATAACCTTGACATAACGTTGAAATAACCTTGATATGTCAAGGTTATGTCAAGGTCATGTCAAGGTCATGTGAAGGTTATGTGAATGTTTTCCGTTAATAACTCGTAAACAAAGCCGCAGATCGCATTTTCGCAAAGGAAAAAGTTACTTCAAATGACCTCAGCTGCCCCTCATTTTCGGCTGTTAAAATAATTGTGGAACACCCTGTATGTATCGTATATGTATATCGTTGAGAACAATCGTTACTTTGCCGGGAGAATGCGAGAACGATCGGAGAGACAGGAGCAAAGAGGTCTCTCTTCGTTGATAATTAATAATCTTTCGATACAGCGGAACTTCACTCACCGGGACGTTCGTAACAGCCTACGCAATTTTCGATCAGATGTCGTATACTTTGAATCTCGTTTCTCTGCAAACGAGAACAACACGTTGTACGATTGTACAAGAGAGGATACGTTAAAATTTGAGAATTAAGAAAACGTTACGGTTTCAACTTCGCGAAGCTTCGCCGGAGAATACTCACGTTCGATGTGACCTCCCTGCAGATATGTTTGACAGCCTCGATCAACTCGTTCAGAGTCTTCACTATTTGGCTATCGGTGAGACACGCTGCAAACCAAACGCGTTCGATCGTTTCGGTTAAAAATGTTCGTGTTCGAAGCCGAACGGAACAAAGCGCTTTCGATTACCTTTCTCGTCCAAGCTTTGGATCGTGATGTCCCCCCTCCTCGGCGTTCTCTTATAATTGGGGTTCCATCGATCGTCCAGCTCCCGATCGAGCTCGATATCGTCCAACGAACTATATCTATCGTGGCCGCCGCCTTCGGACGCGCGTTTCGCGTGCCGACTCGCATGTTTCGGACAGTTCTCATCCTTGAACGCGACGTCGACGAACGGTGATCGATACACTTTCGCTTGGCATTCATCCTCCCACAACTAAAAAAAAAACGCGACCACGATCAACGAACGAATTGTTTGCGAATTGAATTTCGTGGACAAATTTCCGGAATTTCTCCGATCCGCCCAGGCTCCGATCGATCGGGCAGAATCATAAATAACTTCCGTTTCTTTATCACACGTTTACAGTATATTCTTCCTAATCGACGCTCAGTTTGTGTACAAAAATGTGGGAAGCGGAATTTGCCGGAGTGTCAACAACTATAAAAACGAGCCGCGAGGCTCGAATAATGGTATCTTCCCTTCCCAAATTGTCCATTTTTCTTTACAAGCTGAAGAATAATTGGAGAGAACTTACTGTAATCGTTTACACGACCATCAGCATCTCTTCTACTTCTTCGCGAGTCTCGCTTAAGCCGATAATAATAATGATAGTAATAATGATAAAATAATAAAATAATAATAAAATATAAATTTAATAAATAATAAAATATTATATATATATTATATAACAATTATATAATAATAATATTATATAATATTATATATATAATAATAATATTATATAATATTATATATATATATATATATTATATAATAATAATATTATATAATATTATATATATTATATAATAATAATATTATATAATATTATATATATTATATAATAATAATATTATATAATATTATATAATATTATATATATTATATAAAATATAATATATATATAAATAATAATAATAAAATAATAAAATAGTAATAATAATAATAATAATAATAGTAAAAATAATAATAATAGTAATAATATCGAAGGAAGACGGCAAAGGGAATATTCTACCTCTAGAAAGCCAAGTAAGGAGGAATGGAGGAGCGTATTTGAAAAAGAAACGATGACGCCGAGTTATTTAAAACGGTTTACGATGACTCAATTACTGCAAACGGCAAGGATCGCGTTTCTTCGCTGATACTTCAAGATATTTCCACGCATCGAGATCGGAATAGCAAGAAAGTGAGCTGCCGTGAATATTCAATAAGGATGAACTACGAGCGAATCGAAACCGATTCGATGCTTTTTAAGCGCGTTACGCGAGTTAGCAGCTGCGCGTAATAAAGCGAGAACAGCCTTGATCCGAGCAACCATATTTGGAAAGGCATCATCCTACGATCTCTAACGTCATCGTTGCTCCATAACAACCGTTTAAAGCTCCTGTGCAGATCGGAGACAGGGCGAACGAAAACTCACGTTGGTGTTTGTACGGTAAAATGATCATAACGAGAACGTTTCTATCGGGTCGAGTCACAAATAACTTCCGACGCGGCCGGGCAGAAATAATAAATAAAATAAATAAAATATAAAGGAGGATATATAAGGGAGGATATATAAATAAAATAAATAAATATAAAGGAGGATATATAAATGAAATAAATAATAAATAAAATATAAAGGAGGATATATATATATATAAAATAAGGGAGGGAGGATATATATATATATATATATATATATAAAATAAATAAATAAATATAAAGGAGGATATATAAATAAAGTAAATAATAAATAAAATAAAGGAGCAGAAAAGGATGAATGAAAAAAAAAAGATGACAAAATAAATGTCCGATAAAAGAGAAAACGGAAGTTGTTCACGACTCGACCTAACGCAAAGTTGCTATATTGTCTGCCCGGCTATGGTCGGCAGTAAAAGCCGTACTCGACGTAGACTTTTCCGTAATCACTCACCGCCTCTATCCGTTGATCGTTCGCGTCGTCCACCAGATCCCTCGAAGATTCCTTGAACGGTATCCTGCCTTGATAGACGCAGTCGATGTAGACGTCGACCCGTGCATCGGGTTCGTTCCGATGCACCGTCACGATCACGTTCCTGGTGGGCGCGTGTTTGCGCAAAATACTCGCGTGGACGTGCTGCGTGGTCAGATGCCCATCCTCGTCGACGCTTTCGAGGATCACTGAAACGAACGTACGTTTCCCCCATGGTTCTCCGTTACATCGTTCTTTCTCCCCGTAGAAATGAGATTGCAACGATCGAAAAATTCGTCAGGTTTTCAACCGACTCTACTTCACGGAAAACGAACTTGTTGCACGCCTATTAAAAGATTCCTCGTGATCAAAGCGAAACAGTCACGCTATTTTAATCTCGATTAATGTACGCGCTTCATTGAATCACGTTTCCGGACGAATATGTGTGTGTTGCGTCACTTCGGACGAGTCTCTCTCTCTCTCTCTCTCTCTCTAATATATATATAATATATATATATATATTTATAATCTAATATAATATAATATAATATATATAATATATTATAATATATATATATAAAATATAATATAATATAATAATATAATAATCAAAAATATATATATATATATAAAAAGATAGATATCTATATATCTATATATAGATATATATCCATATATCTATTTGTCTCAATCTTTTCCTCCCGAATTAAGCTGTGAAACGGCTAAAACGTTACCGTTTTACCTCGTCTGGCCCGCCTGTTGATCATCAGCACCGTCATCTTCCTGGTCCCGCCGTAATGCACCGCCAGAAGCCTGCCGACCATTGGCTCCGACGAGTTTTCCTTCGGTTTCGCGTTGGAGAAGACGATCGCGAACTGGTCGTCGTCCCATGCTTCTCGAAGATCCGTCGTCAACTCTGCGGAAAGTTTCTCTATTCGATCATCGAGCCAATCGCGTAGCCCCCAAACTAGGCCCGATCCACCCCTGCGTTTACAAGACGCAAATTGCAATCTGCCGCTACAGACTCTCGTCGCTTTCGTGAATAAGAAATCGTCGGATCACAATTCGATACCAGTTCGGAGACTCTTCTGCCCGAAGCGGAACAACGTCGACGCGAGGGTCAACGACTTGCCCCCCGGGTTGATGTAACAGGTGGTGCGAAGGGTCAGCCGGCAAAAGGACGAGGCCACCCGACGAATATATATATATATATATATATATATATACATATACATATATATATATATATATATATATATATGTATATGTCGCGAACCGAGCGCGTCGAACGTTCGCCAATTAGCCATCGCGATCGAGAAAGGAACCATCCGGTCGTTTTTAGAGAGCGTCGAACGGTTGGCTGTTCGCGGAGATCGTCGAATGTGAAAATAGCGAACGCGGGATTAGAACGCGACACGAGCGCGAGACGATTCGCCGTTACCGGGTTTCTTGTCAACATTTACGGCGACTGGTTTCCGATCCGGCGAGTGTATTATGGGAATGCAGCTCCGGAGGCGCAAGGCGTTTCCCTTTACTTTTAATTGCGATACATGACATGGCTCCGAGGATCCGAGCCAGAAAAGAACGCAACTGATCGCGACCGATGAGACGCGAAAAATCGCCGATGCTTCTTAACGCCGAGAACAGGCAACTATTTTTTCGCGTGTTATTATTATCCCATTGTATGCAAGATCCGTGGCTTGGAACTTGTTCGTCTGTTCGGAGCTTTCGAGACGGTCCACAATTGTATTTACTTGCACGCGTCTTACCTTTATCGGCCGTGAGATTGGAATCGACGCGGTAAACGGTCAGAAGCACCGCGACGATCGACGCACGGAGGATCCGCATTTTCTTTCACCGTCCGAAATCGGTTCACGTGGTCCTTTCGGTGGTCGCGGTGTCCAACGGAGATCCTTGCGAACAGAATTCACCGATTCGACTTCTCTCGAGCGCGGAGAATTCACGGTTCACTTTTTTCCCTCGGACGTTTCGACTTGAGGCAACGCATGCCTCGAGATGTCCAGCGAGTAAATAGATCGCAGGACGTTGGCGTTCGTCGACTGAGACGAGGAAAAGCCTACGAGCGACTTTATACGTTACCCACGGGAATGTTGAAGTAGAGCCGCAAGTACGGAGCGCGGTCGTCCGCGGTCCGCGCATGAACAAGACAATCAAACGAATCTGCGCAAAATTATCGATCGACTATAGGAAATAGTCACGGTTTTATTGTTTATTTATCATGGAAGAGCAAGAAACACCTCGACGAGTCAATATAACGATGATAATAATCTTTTATTATGTATAAAGTAGTACTTTTGATTTAACTTGAACGCGAGGCGTTGCTTCACTTTGTGTTATAATTTCGTTAACGTGTCTAATACTGTTGGTAGTACCATATTATTTATGAAACTGCTTGTTTAAGAGTACCAGTTGCTGTTCATACGATCGCGAGTCACTCGATGGTTTACAGCAACTTGTTTCTCGAACGCGAAGGCGGCGGGTTTCACTGTATGCCCGGCGAGTTTTCTGAAAAGTGAAAATGAAAAGTTAAAGGACCGAATGGAAACTGGTAAATTCGACGTAGCATCGATCTTAACACGTTGAATGCCACGGGGGTCACCGGTGACCGGCGCTTAACTTGGCGGTGACGCCGTGGGGGCCACCGGTGACCGACGCGCCCAAATTGATAGAAATATATATGATTTAAAACAAATGTCAATATCTAAAATTTTCTATTATTACCATCGTCGATTCAAACAGTGACCCCTGTCGCAATTAACATGTCAAACATGCTTATACACTGTAACTTATCTATTGCAGATGATATTTCAACATTATATGTATCGCATAAAAGAAAATTCATCATTTCTGTAAAACCGGCGTGGCATTCAACGTGTTAAGCGGTGTTCGAAATTCTTGTGACCTGTTTTCGATCTCCTTACCTTCGGCGCATCTGTACTCCATGTCCGACCAAATGATGTTCTCTTGAGAGAAGCAATAAAGCCCGAGTTTGCCACCCTTCAGAGTCGAATCGTGCAACTCTCCGGAATCGGTGATCAATTTTGCACCTTGATAGAGCTTGAATCGAATCAAACCGATTTTCGGTCTGTGAGACAGCTGCCATCGGTACGTGGTGCGCGCCACCCAGCCGACTTTATTCGGATCCTTCCAGAGTATCTTCGTTTGGTTCGGCACGTCCTGATTGTGCCAGAGGCTGTTTCTGAGATGTATTCCGGGACCCGTGTTCGAATCGACAAGCTTCAAAACGATTCCGGCATCGGCGTAGGCCGGGAACGGTTTGTTCTCCCAATACTGCTGANTTGGCGGTGACGCCGTGGGGGCCACCGGTGACCGACGCGCCCAAATTGATAGAAATATATATGATTTAAAACAAATGTCAATATCTAAAATTTTCTATTATTACCATCGTCGATTCAAACAGTGACCCCTGTCGCAATTAACATGTCAAACATGCTTATACACTGTAACTTATCTATTGCAGATGATATTTCAACATTATATGTATCGCATAAAAGAAAATTCATCATTTCTGTAAAACCGGCGTGGCATTCAACGTGTTAAGCGGTGTTCGAAATTCTTGTGACCTGTTTTCGATCTCCTTACCTTCGGCGCATCTGTACTCCATGTCCGACCAAATGATGTTCTCTTGAGAGAAGCAATAAAGCCCGAGTTTGCCACCCTTCAGAGTCGAATCGTGCAACTCTCCGGAATCGGTGATCAATTTTGCACCTTGATAGAGCTTGAATCGAATCAAACCGATTTTCGGTCTGTGAGACAGCTGCCATCGGTACGTGGTGCGCGCCACCCAGCCGACTTTATTCGGATCCTTCCAGAGTATCTTCGTTTGGTTCGGCACGTCCTGATTGTGCCAGAGGCTGTTTCTGAGATGTATTCCGGGACCCGTGTTCGAATCGACAAGCTTCAAAACGATTCCGGCATCGGCGTAGGCCGGGAACGGTTTGTTCTCCCAATACTGCTGAGCACCTTTCTTCCAAGATACCACGTAGAATTTATGATTGCTCTGGTAAGAGAATACGAAGCCAACAAAATCGTCGTCGCTGTTGTCGTCGATGTAAAAAGTGCCGTCGAAGTCCACGCTGCTCAACGTGTCCGGCCCTGTTGAACCGAAGCGCACACGATCATTGTTACACGTGTCTACGAGCCGTCTCTCGAGCTTAACGATTGATATACTGCATACCTTAACGACAAATGTCGATTGCAAAATCGAAAAAAACAGCATTACCTATAGCAAGTCCCGGGTCGCTGTTCAAAAGTTGTTTCATCTCAGCTCCCTCGTTGGTTGCCTCCCACACAGGGTCGTTTTGCGATGATCCAACAGGATCCAGAGCGATCGTCACGTACCTTCGGAAGTCTGTTCTCGATATCATGCTGTTGTTCGGACAGTTGTCGATCGTATCGATCACGTTGTCTTTGTCGAAGTCGTTCAGGCAAGCGTCGCCTCTATCCGGACCTGAAATCACCCAGTTCGTATCCATAGCGTTACCTTCAGGGAAAAAAAGGCTTAACTTGCTCTAATCGATCGACTCAACTTACTAATAGTCTGCAGTTGATCTGGATTGTATACGTAAGGACAATTGTCCGCGTCGTTCGGCACTCCGTCGTTGTCGATGTCGTCGTCGCACACGTTTCCTACGCCGTCGTGATCGTCGTCGACCTGATCCGCGTTCGGTACGTCGGGACAGTTGTCTCTATCGTCCTGAATGCCATCTTGGTCCCTGTCGTTGTCGTTGTCGCAAACGTCGCCCACTCCGTCGCCGTCCTTGTCCGACTGATCCGGGTTGCTAATGTTGGGGCAATTGTCGCATACGTCGCCGATCTTGTCCTTGTCGGCGTCCTCTTGATCTTTGTTCACCTTGTACGGGCAGTTGTCAACCTTGTTCGGTATGCCTAAAAATCATCCTGATTGGAACAACGTGTCAAAGGTAACTATACGAGTAAGCGATCTCGCGTTCGTTCACCGTCGTTGTCGATGTCGTCGTCGCAAGCATCGCCGATCCCGTCGTTGTCCGTGTCCTCCTGCTTCGGATTTTTCACCGTGGGACAATTGTCGCAGACATCGCCGACTTTGTCGCCGTCCTTGTCTTCCTGGCCGGGGTTCGGGTGCAACGGGCAGTTATCCTTAGCATTCGGTTTGCCGTCGTTGTCGGCGTCTGGATCGCAAGCGTCGCCTATCCCGTCGCCATCGGCGTCCTCTTGGCCACTGTTCGGTACCGTAGGACAGTTGTCCGCTTTGCACTCTCGCGCGGAGCAGCAAAGCTTCTCATCGGGTATGCCGTCGTTGTCGCTGTCTATGCCGCACTCGTATCCATCTCCTGCCCATCCCGCACGGCACTGTCAGTAAATTCGGTTTCTCATAATTCCTTGTAATCAAAAGTCGGAGAAGCGGATATCGACGCGAGATGAGACGGTTACCTTGCAGGTGTAACTTCCAGTGCCCGTGTTCGCGCACGTAGCGTTGCTTTTACAAACTGTAACCTCGTCCGGACAAAGTTGGCCGTCGGGCTTGCAACCGCTCGTTCTATTGCCTAGGAATCCCGGTAGACACGAGCCGCACTTGTAGGATCCCTAAGAAACAACTCGGATGAAAATATTTGAAAAAACGACGTGACTGACAAATATACGTATCTATGTATATATTATATACCACCGTGTTGATGCATTGTACAAATTTGCCGCAGCCACCGTTGTCGACGCCGCACTCGTTTATGTCCCGGCAGACCTGCTTGTGGGCCTTCGCGTGGTCCAGGTCGCTTCCTTCCACGCTGGATCCGTTGAGACCTTTCGGGCAGGCTTCGCATCTGTACCCGGGATACAGATTCGTGCATTTTACCCCGGGATAGCAAGGCTTAGCGATCTGACACACGTCCACGGTGACGCACGATGACGAGGTACTACCGGGGCAGCCTGGCAGACAAGGATTCTTCGCACATGGAGTACTCGATTGGACGCAACGGTACCCGTCGCCGATGTACCCGGCCGAGCAACGTCCGCACTTTGGCCCCTGCGGCGTATTGCGACAATAGTGTCCCGGCAGACAGGGCGATTTGTATTCGCATGTAAGTATCACCGGCGCATCTAAAATAAACTGCATATTGTAGTATCGTAATTTAGTGGGTACGTTTGGAACGAGGAGGAGTGTTAGGCTCAGGAGACCGTAGTTTTAAGACTTTGTATTTATGGGGTAGGCAATAGAAGAGAAACGTTGGCGAAGGCCGCGGGTCAGATGAAAGAAACCTTTGGCGACGGACATCCGGCGGATGCGATTGTCACGTTTTTAGAAAAGGCAGGCGTTGGGAGCGTGTTTGAAGTGGACAGAGAGTGTTCGAGGAGTCGTCGAGTGAGGAGTGTTGCAAGTTGTAGAATTAAGTGAAATAGTTGCGATCCTAGTCGTAGGTACGGTACGCGATATTTCCTGTCTTCATCACGTTTAGTCCTTTCATAATCCTGTCTCTTATACACATCTAGATGTGTATAAGAGACAGGATCCTAGTCGTAGGTACGGTACGCGATATTTCCTGTCTTCATCACGTTTAGTCCTTTCATAATCCTGTCTCTTATACACATCTAGATGTGTATAAGAGACAGGATCCTAGTCGTAGGTACGGTACGCGATATTTCCTGTCTTCATCACGTTTAGTCCTTTCATAATCCTGTCTCTTATACACATCTAGATGTGTATAAGAGACAGGATCCTAGTCGTAGGTACGGTACGCGATATTTCCTGTCTTCATCACGTTTAGTCCTTTCATAATCCTGTCTCTTATACACATCTAGATGTGTATAAGAGACAGGATCCTAGTCGTAGGTACGGTACGCGATATTTCCTGTCTTCATCACGTTTAGTCCTTTCATAATCCTGTCTCTTATACACATCTAGATGTGTATAAGAGACAGGATCCTAGTCGTAGGTACGGTACGCGATATTTCCTGTCTTCATCACGTTTAGTCCTTTCATAATCCTGTCTCTTATACACATCTAGATGTGTATAAGAGACAGGATCCTAGTCGTAGGTACGGTACGCGATATTTCCTGTCTTCATCACGTTTAGTCCTTTCATAATCCTGTCTCTTATACACATCTAGATGTGTATAAGAGACAGGATCCTAGTCGTAGGTACGGTACGCGATATTTCCTGTCTTCATCACGTTTAGTCCTTTCATAATCCTGTCTCTTATACACATCTAGATGTGTATAAGAGACAGGATCCTAGTCGTAGGTACGGTACGCGATATTTCCTGTCTTCATCACGTTTAGTCCTTTCCTAATCGATACAGATTCAATATTGTTTAAATATTGGACAATTTCTACAATATCTTTAGGCGCGAAAATACTTTATACTCTATACATATACCTATTTACTGTATACGCATAGTAGATGGAGGAAAACTGGGTAAAGAAGGAACACTTTGGACCTCACCTTCGTGGCGAATTCGAAGGTTTCTCGAAGTCTTAGGACCCAAGGTGCCTAAGTGAAACCTGACTCACCGCTTTCTTCGTTGTCACTGCAGGCTGCGCAGCTGTTGATCAAATATCGAAGGTATCTTGTCTCCGCTTTCTGAAAGCAAAAATATTGTTATTCAGATATTGATTGTTTTGCATCGTGCCGAGAATGAAAACACTCACGCACGAATGTAATTCCTTCCAAACCGATCTGATTCCGCTGATCAGATCGTCGATGGCGCCCACTATGTAACTCTCCGTCAGGTTTTCGGCTGCAAATTTCGAATAGTAAGCGATATTTTTCACAAACGATCGGCGAACTATGAAAGTGCTTCGGCAACTGTTTTTGAATATTTATTATTTGTACCTAAACAGCGTAGTTCACCCCTTGTACCATAACAACGAGTCAATGATGATTTTATACATAATCTATTAAAAAAATATAAAGTTAATATAAAGACCGTATAATTAAATATAAAGACCATCAAATAACTTTAAATGATTTTTAAATGCATTGTTTCTGAGATAATCGACCGTTCCGAGATTTTCGGCGGATCTTCACAGTAAGCGATTTCTATCCGTTTCCATATTTCACACCGAATTTGGCACCAACGCCTTGGCTATGCCAGATACAGGTCAAATCCAGGCCAAACCTTGTAGCGCTTCCGCATCTGCCTCTGTGCGAGTCCTCTTCAAACGACACGTTTTGCTACAAGGTTCCGCAAAGATTTGCCATTGATTTGGCACCGTCGTGCGTCTGGTGCCAAATACCGAGCAGAGCCTCCTTTCCAAACGCACATAATACCAAATAAAAAAAATAATAAATATAATAACCAAATGCACATAAACCTCGAAAATTGCACTACCGAGCGTTTTACATGTATGTATATGGTCGAAGCAGACTTGACCAACTTATGCAATAATTACCTCTTCCTTTAGTATTCCTGATGCGCATACTTCGCGCCCTAAACCCTTTCTTATAAATTAGCTCGGCTAAATCGACAGAATCCAATTTCCCTACGTTTCCAATCGGAAGTCTCACTTTGCGAGTAACCTTATTGTTGTCATCGTCGACCCATAAACCATTGCCGTTATCATCGAGCGTGCCCTCGACTCCATCGTCCGGATCTGAAACCACCGTTTTCATTATATTTAATTAAATGCCGTTAATTATTGCTAATTAATAAACCACTCTTCCAATTTCATTAAAAAAAAATTTCATTAAAATTCGTTACCTTCTTCGATCACAATACCGGAATCAACGAAATTTGCGACAAGCAAAACCGCGGCACTGAATGCCGCGATAGTTAATGTTTGCATGTTCGATCACTACTTTGTCCCGTTCGTTTCGATTGATGCTCGTCAAGTTTGACGAGAAAGTGTTCGAATATCTCTTTATATGGTATTCCGAATCCATATCGCAAGCAAAAACACCTGTTTCGCAAACATTTGTGCAATTTCCGTAATTCCGTTTTATCAGTCTTCAACAGATTACGCCGACCAACACAAACTTGCATTTAAGGCACAAGCTATCTCGATCTTCTCATCCGAAGTAGGAATAGATGAGCCCTCGTCTATTGTGATCAAGGTGACAATTATACAAAAGGACAGTAGGCATTTTTATCGCAATGCCTTTGTACTTCCAGAGAAAACATGTATCTCTTGAACAGTCTTATCCAACTTCGCGGAACATGACGTTGATTTCATGATTGCATTTCCCGGTATAAAATACTTATCACATAATATGATTGGCTTGTGTAAACAGAATGGCTGCAAGATACATTTCTGTATTAGCAGATGTCATTAGGGACTCCACCTTTATTGTGAATCAGTTTCCGTTACGATTAGTGAAACAAACAAAACTTATCTCCATTAATATTATCGAGGTTTTTAATTTTATACGCTCCTGATCGATCTGGTCCGAATCGTGCCGATTTTCTTTCTCGTTCAGATTTGGCTTTTCTGCTTTCGGACATTCTAAAATATTCTAAAATATTCTTCGGATATTCTAAAATAAAACTCAACATTAATAGCTCATCGACAAAGTCGCAGATAGCGTTTGCGCTAAGGAAGAAAGTTACATCAAAAGACCTCAAACCTTTTGGGACACTCTGTACATGCAACACGCTTGAATCTCTCTTGCATGATCGTATTTGAATCTCTTTTACATAAGCATGAACATATAATGATACCGCTAACAATTAAGCACTACCAAAAATCAAATCCGCGTGATGGCGCTGCCCGATCAAAATCGATTCACTCGATAACGGAATACGAGTTTATCGACCGAACCGTCCGAAAATGCTTCAAGATTCAAGATCTATCGCTGTCCATTGTTTTCATTTCATAAATATTGATCGTAATTGGGTGACATTAAAAATTCTGTGGAAACCGTAGAAAATTAATATTCTCTTATGTTGGAGAACATATAAATACATATAATATGCATTGGATTCTGTTCAAACAGATTCAAATCAACATGTTTTCAATGTTTTCACGCTGTCAGGCGAACCAACGCACAAAAGTGTAGACTGTACCAGTGAGTGTACACACAGCGGCCAGCAGATAGCGGACCACGGTGGACCAAGCGGACGCAGCAGACCCGGGCTGATCCGAGCAGCGGACGCAGCGGACTGTGGACCACAGCAATGGTACCAATCTTGCAACAATAAACGATGCACATACGATAAATGCAATTAGACGGCAACTTCATCATCAACTTACCATACTGTCAAAGAAACGTCGAAAATGTGGAAAAAGCGTAGATACAGTGGTAAATTTTTGTCACGTTTATTATAACGACCGAAGAATGCGATCATGTGGCCGACGAGGCACGAAACGATGACCCGTGATGAATGTAGAAAATGTTTACGATATTTGGGTAAGGTTAAGATCCAGACAATTTGTTTTCTTTGCTAGCGTTTAAGTTTTTCGAGCTTTATGGTAAATGTACCCAAAGAATCTAAACGATCGTTGATGCAATAACCTTGTAATTTTTGTTAACGTCACTGCTGTGTGTGTGTGTTGCACGATTAATCAAGATCAAGTTGTATTATTTACATACCATGGTGATCATAGAGGAATTGTGTTTTTTATTTAATACAGAATTAGATGCATATGGAAGTATGGTGTCTGTTTTGCGTGCTCAAGGACCCTTCACTAATGAGAAACAGAAATTGTTACAAGAACTTGCTAAAGTTTTACATATTTCCAATGAAAGGCATCGTGCAGAAGTACGAAGAGCTGTAAACGATGAAAAGTTAGCAACTATAGCCGAACAGTAAGTGTTTAAATACAGCTTTTATTACAGTTGGTAATAAAAAATGCTTTATGTTTGAATATTAATTTTTACTCATTCGTGGTATAGATTAAGCGGTCCAAACACTGGCACGGATTGGACTATCGAAGGTCGTCGTGCTATTCCTCTTTTACCAAGATTAAAAGCAAGAACTGCTTTTACTACATTAGCGAATAGTTTGTCTCTCGCGACGGCAGCTGCGAACAAAAGGAATCTTCCTCTTCATGAAAAAACAGAGGATGCAAAAGGTTTTAAGGAAAACTATTATCTATTTTGGTAAATGTGTGGTTTTAGTCTGTGTAAATTAGCGTACGGTTCTAGAGCTGTAAGTCAAGAAATTCAACGATTCGACGTTTCTTTTACATATGGATTTGTATACATTTATATTTATATTTATGCATGTCCCATATTTAATATTTTGACAGATATTACAAGCAAATCTCCTGTGAAAGTGAAAATAGAGGAAAGAATACTTGATGACGCTGAGTTTTCACCTATCAAAGATAAGTTTAACGAAGAAAATATTATGGAGGAGGTAATCTAACTTAAGTCTTTGCTTCGTATTATGTGTATATCCTTTCAAATGTTTTATCTGCATCTTGAACGTTACAGGTAGCTGAGATAAATAAACAAAATTTGAATAGTGAAAGCAAGGATTTGGACACGGGTGAAAAGTGTGGCATTGTGGAAAAACGTAAAGCAACTTCTCCACTTCCAACAGCATTACCAAATAAAGTATTGCAAATAAATTCAATTCGTATGATTAAATTTAGATAGAGAATTACCAAGAAAGGAATTAACGATCAAAATTTTTTTAAGATATTGGTAGTGTCTGCAAATTCTATAGGAACGTTAAATCATGGTGTTACCCCAAAAGGATGTCTGGAAAATACTATTCAGTTGTCGCGAGTCTCAACAAATTCCTTACAGCACCAAAATTTCACAATAATACCGCTTAATATTAATTGTGCAGAAGACTCTACAGGTTAAAATATATTTTATTTTAATAGATATATGGTATGTATTATGTTGAATGACGCTAAATCGTCTAAATTCTAGATCTAGAACCTAAAACAACTGCGGTAGCAGAAAATTTTGTCAACCACGGAGCAGTATCGTCTAGTAGTCCTACGAATTCCGTCGTCCCTGTGGAAATAACGAGTATCGCTAAGACTCAGGGAAAACTAATTACAACACAAAGTAAACTTAGTACAAAAATTGGGTCAGGCATTTTGATGCCCGACGGGCATAATTTGCAACTTGAAACTGAAGATACATCGACGCAAAATAGTTTAAGTAGTTCACAAAAAACAATAGACTCGGAGAATTCAAATTCAACTGCCAGTAGCACAAAACGTATCGTGCCCATGATACATTCTAACACGAAACCTCCGATAAATAAAGCTATAACGACAAGTAATTATCGGTATTGCCGCATCATGAAGTAGCTTAGAGTTCGCATAGTGTGAAATTAATTCATGGTTATTTTTTTCCTCAGATAATTCGCATCGATTAATAACTGTGTGTCCTGGTACAGCCATGTCGAATGGACCAGGACCGCCTCAGCCTAAGCAGACAACAGTAACTTGTAAAAAGATACCTACTACGCTCAATAATCAAATCGCTGCCAAAATTGTACGACTTTTAAAACACTTTAATAATACGGGAGAATGACATAGAGTTTTAAAATAATTTGTTTTTAATGTTTTAGGGTGTTACATTAAATTCTAATAAAACTGTAAATATTTCTCATCATCCTAATACAAAATTAGCATCTAAAACGAATGTGATTGTTATACAAAAGGGTCAAACCAAAGGTGTAACTCTTTCTCACGCAGGCAAGGTATATCGACATTACTTAACCCGCTTCCTTATTAGTTCCTACATGCCATTCAATTGTATTTATATACTTTAGGAAGTACTCGGAAAGGTAATAGTGGGTGGCAAAAATTTGTGTGTCACGAATCAGCATAGTGCTTCTATTAATGTTTTACCGCGCCATATTACGTTAAACAATGGAGATCAATCCGTAACTATGTTATCAACAACTAATTTGCCTCAAACGGAACCCATAATATCCAACACGAAAGTAATGACCGTTGTTACATACGCATGGAAATCGCAAGAATAATTGAAAATGTGTTTATGTACTTTATTTTTCAGTCTGGTAACACCATTACGTTCAATCTTCGACAAGATGTGTTCGAGAAGAATAAAGCCCTGACCCAAATTTTCGAATCACCTAATGTTCTTACCTCGGAATCTAAGACTGTGATACAGAATGCGCACGCTCGTCTTTCGAAAGAACCAAGTAACAGTGATTCACATGTACAGGATAACGAAATCATTGTAAAAACCGATGCTATAAGTTCTGTTAAAGATGAGATACACAGGTCAGTTTGAAGTAATCAAACTTCGTTATGCAATTGTTATGTTAAAAAAAGTGCATGTAACATGAACACCTAACTTTTATCATTACTTTAAAATTTCCTTTTATAAATTAATTGTTGTAAATTCGTATTACATGATTTATAGTCCGCTTAAGTTGTTTTAAGCCATTGTAGTTCTAATACTTCATTTCGTACAGATCTTTTATTTACGATTTTTTTTACACATTTATCCAGTGTATAAGATTGAGCGCTGGTGACGCGACGGTAGCTATTTATTTCAAGAACGTTCAATACTCAGTGGAGAATCGTATGTTGGAATCGAAGATTAAGATAATTTATACTGAAAACTTTTAAGAGACTTTTCACTATGTTCATATAGATATTGAATTTAACAAAGAAAGACTGGATGTATTCCATAATGTACGTAATACATACATGTCTAACAATAAGTATTTAACTTTTAGTAGTGTTTGACCCTTTCAAACAAATGAAGTTTCTTGTTTACTAAATCATAAATAATATAAGAATCGTGCAATTACCTGATTAAGAAATTGTAATTCTACACGACTGATTGTTTTACATCTGGCATGTGCCAAATTTGTAATATATTTACAGTGCTAAGTAAAAAGTTTGTTTCTATGTTTCTGATACTTGCTCACGCTTTATATTGTTCACATGCTGTAAATATACATACGATG